GACATACTTGCTGACATGGCTAGGAGCCGGCCCCAATGGCGTTTGGGTTGTGGGTTCCTTTGTCCATCCCCTCCAATCACGATCTCATTCACTAGGCATAATGTAACTCTTTCACGGTACGATAGCCGGCTGTTAGCTCTCCGGAACGATGTCCAACCATTATTGGGGACTCAGCCGGCGAGGCACTGTTGTATATTTTTCTTCTTGTCCTTAGTATTGCGGCACAATAGCTGTGTTTTCCACCTGCAGCTAACTTGTACAATGATGATGATGAACTGAAGTGATAACGTTCCAAGGAAAATCTCAATCAATCGCAGCTGTGCGGCTTCAAATTGCCGCTGCTGTGGTAAAAAAGTAGCCTTCAGGTCTTCTGATGAGATTGACATCCTGATTTAGTTCAACTCCGTCGCCAAAACCCGTTACGTGTTTCCGTTAATTGTACGGGTAACCTGCTTCTACTGCGCAAGTTGACCGATCGACTTTCCAGATTAGAAGACAAAGGCCTCAGGCGGAAATCGTATTGTGCACCCAGCAAGCAGTGTGCACAATCAAATGCTGGGGTCGAATAAATAGTTAGTAAGGGGATGACCCAGCGCTCACTGACAGACTTCAAAGTGGACTATCCTCATTGGTAGTATTCAAGGTGAAACGTCATCATTAGCCATGCCTTCATTGGTTGGCGAATAAGCCACGGGCTGCTAGCAAAGGGGTGCCGGCTCTCTTAAGACGTTTCAACTAAAAAAATAATCCCGGGGAATCCGTTATGGACACTAAGGTCGAGTCGGTCGCCCTGATTGGATGTTCGATAAAACTTGTCCGCCCGATTGGTCGATCAGAAAGTCAAGGTCACTGATACGGTGTAATTGCAGCCAGACACGATACAGTTATATGGGGTAGACTACCGATGTTTATGTGTTTTTGAGACCTTCAAGGTCCTCTGTTTTCTTCTATACTTAACTTACCAAGAGGAGCGTTAGACTGTCCGAGAACATTTTTGATCGACCAATGCAATTATTCCAGTTTGTTACTGGAAAAACGCTGGAATCTGACACAAGTGGCGTTGACTGATCCATTCGTTAGGTGGTGCTCCTCCTAACAGAAAAATAACCAGCGTTTAAATACCCTGCGTCAGATTTATTTCTATCTATTTGTTGTGATGTACAAGCCTGATGCCAGCCACCGAAAACAAGGTTGTTCGCTTAGCTAGCTTATGGTTACAAAATTAAGCCTGTAGTATTGATAGGATAGGTTTCATAACCATACAGAAAGTTTAAACTTAGGAGCCAATCTGACGTCATATGTCCGGCCGCTGATTGGGATCGAATCACTCAGAGCAATAACCACACGGGCATCCAAAGTTGCATTATCTCCGGACAGACAGTGAGAAACTACCGCCGGCGTCACATAAAGGTGATCATAGAGTGATTACAGAGCTCAAGGCATGCATCCGGGTTTCCGATAAGTGGCAGATAGCGATTGATAGTTACTAATATCCGTGCAACTACTGCCTGTTGATCGATTTTCAACAAATTGGGCACGTTGAATACCAGCATTAGAGGGGATCGAGTGATCCAGGTGGAAGCGGCTGAACCGAGGTTGTCTTGGTTGGACAAGAAGTGCACCGGAGCGACGCTCTGCGAGTTAAAATTAGAAGACACATGACTGGAAAAATGGCCATGGCCAAGAAATGGGAAGTCGAAAATAGGGGAAATAAAAGTGAAGTTGGGGGAGATAATAAGGATGAAATGTGGAAGAGGGGGGAGAAGAAAACGTGGAAGTGTGAGGCCCGCTAAATGCGACAGATAGGGCACTGTTGAGTGACCTTTGTAACGGCCAAAGCAACAAGAGATTAATCGGAGAGAAGTCCAGTGCACTGCGTGGACAGGATACTGTCACGTTGCTCAGGCCTAGACAATAGAACGACTAGGGCTCCCAATCAAATTCTTGGTACATAAACCCGACCGCAATGCAGTGACAACTAATCAGAGGACAACAATGAGTCAGTTTTAGAGAATAAGCAGCCAACCTCACTTGAATCACCAAACGGGAGGACCAGGAGAGTGAGTTTGGCTGGCCTCAAACCATTGACCAAGCTCATATGAGTGAACTTGAAAGTGTAAGAAGGAACACCCGGCATAGCTAAATGAATCCTTGAGGTGGACAAAGCATCGCAACAACATAAGGTCCAGCGATGATCCCACCGAACAACTAGGGAGTAAACAACCCTAGTGATAATGGATTTGATGACAGATATCAGCCGGTAGACAAAAAAATGGATTACCAGAGTGGGGGAGTGCAAGGCGCCACTAGCTCATGACTACGCCGCCCGAAAGCTCCTTAGCTACGGGTGAGGCCGTACTTGGGAAGCCCATCCGGAATGACTAAGTACATCAGCCTGATCGGGTATTCCGGTCAATTTCTTCATTTTGTTATACTTCAGGCGGTGAGAGATAATGCAATGGAACTCACTGTGTTGCAGTGCAATGATCTTCGTTGATCAACTGCAGTGGATGACATGGACATCAGCCTGACACCGGTAGTGACAATGGCATTGGCGTTAGATACAATTCGCGATCTCGCTATGGAGGGTGAGAAAAATGGGCGGATTCCAGAGTAGGAGGAGGATGTACAGAGCCAAGTGCTTTAGTGACATAACATACACTGCAGGCCAAGTTTTGCTGTGTTCCTGGATTTCAGCAACATGTTTGACTAATTTGGCCGGCTCGTCCCGGTCAATTGAATTAGCAACATCCGAATTAGAACCACCGGATGCTGATGAGCATGAAAGACAGCTGAAGAAACAGGCATCAGCAGTACGCTGTAACGACGTTTCGTTGCCACGCAAACACAACCAGACGCGCGGCTTAGGATAATGCGAGGATCGCCCGGTCACCTAGTATTAGATTCAACGATTTTATAGACATAGATCCAAACAAAGCCACGAAATTCAGAAGATGCCAGGTAGAATCGGGGCAGCATCAACATTATGGCATATCAGATGAAGGTAAGCAACAGACTTCAGCTGTTGTATCGCAAGAAGAACGGAATATGTTTTGCTACTTTTGCACAAGCCATTTTTGAAAATCTTTTTCTAATCGTTAGGCATTAAGTATACGAAGCTAAATAAGTAGGTACACAAGTGTTCCCCCTGAATGGTTTCGAGCCATCGACACTTCTCGTCCTTAGGTCCCCAACCAAGCACGCATGCGGACCCAACGGCAGCAAGACGTGGAGTCAATGATTTCATGTTGTCGCCAGGTGGGTTGACCACCGCGTGGTCTCTTCCAGTCGAGTCCTGCACGAGCGAATAGAGCAAGCGCTCAGCTGATATACGCAGGACGTGACCTGGTCATTTTAACTGGCGCAGTAAAACCAGTTTGTTGGAGGGAACACCTGCATCCCTAAAACCCGACGTTTTAGTTCACCGCTGCAGCTACGCTGTTGTCACCAAACACGAGCAATTCTCCTCAAGCACCCATTAGGGAAGTCCGAGAGTCGGCGCGTCATCAAGCTGAACTGGCCATGACTCATTGATATATAGTGAAGCCACATGAACGGTGGCATTGTAAACACGATCCTTTACCAACAGATGGACATCCCGACGACGCCACAAGTATTGCAGATTCACGAACGCAGACCGGGCGTTGGCGATGCGGAGAGAAATGTACTCGCTGATAGTGCCATCAACATACACGCAGCTGCCTAGGTGTACCAAGCTGTCTGTCTTCAAGATTGAGCATGCGAACGGAAGAGTGTCAATCCTAAAGCAGCACTTTGCATTTCGACGGGGCGAAGCACATTCCGTACTTAGATGCCTCAAATACCAAAGGGTTTAGGATGGTTTGCATACTCGCGTGTCCTCCCCAAGTAGTGCGATGTCATCGGCATAATGTAAGTCGGTTGTTCGATTACTCGGTAGAAGTTACAAACCAAAATGTTGGTAGCGCCCCAGATCTCATAACATGACGTCTTCAATCGCGAATGTGAAGAAATGCGGGGACATAGTGCAGCCCTGTTGTATACTGCTATTGACAGCGAAGGACGAAGAAAGCTTGACCTAGACCCTCACTATGCCAGAGACGTGGAGATAGAGTGAGCGTAGGATGGTAGTATACTTGACTGGGACCGCGTTCCTTAGCAAGCAACGCCAGATCGATCAACTGAGTCAAAAGCAGCATGGATATCTAAGAATGCCACGATGGTAGGTCTCTTGTAGAAGTGGCGAAATTCGGTGAGTTGGCGGAGCGTGGAGATTTGATCCACACATCCACGGCCAGATCGGAATCCAGCGTGTACTACCGAGTATTGTGACTCACGAATCGGGGATAGTCTACGAAGGAGAATGGATGCTAATAGCTTGGGGACGACCGAAATGAGACTGGTCCCCAGGCGATTAGCGCATAAAGTGAGAGCAGTTTTCTTAAAAATCGGGACAATAACTGAATCGCTCCAGGAAGCAGGTAACTGTTTCTTCACGCGAGATTTTGGAAAGTGATATTAGTTGACTGATGACAACTGCTTCACCATATTTGGACAGCTCCAAAGGATATCCGTCTGAGCCGGCAGCCATGAATCGCTTCAAATGCCTAATCGCAAGACAAGCTTCCGCTTCACCGGGTGGATCAAGTGTAACGACCTAGAGCGAGTAGCTGGGTTCGCATGGAATACAAGTGGACGGTGAGGGCCAACTAAACCAGCGATTTCCGCATTGCAAAGCAGAGGAAGACCCATTAACGCTATTCCGTTAGGACCAGGTAATTGAAATCATGCGATGTGTGCAAAAAGCGGATATCGCGATCGTAATGCGCTTATATCGCTCATCACTAGGGCAGTTTAATGTACATTTTGAAGTGGTGTTGGTGAAATGTTAACCCTGGTAGCTATGGGAAAAGTGCCGGTAAACGGCTGATGCACCTAGACAACCTGAATGGTCCGCCTACATTCATGTAATAACGCCAATTTTACGCATGGTGTTAATTGGAAAAGAGAAAACTCCGTTTCAGTATATACGATCTCATGTAATTGATACATAAAGATATATGAGCGAGAAATAACGACAAGGGCTGGGTCAACCAAAAAACGGGCTAGTCAAAAGTAGTCTCTACATACCGACGCAAGACCATGCGGAGGATGATGCACAGGGTAGATGGATCATTTTCGATTGAGAGGGGAACAATACCGCGTCGGCTAGCATCAATTTGAACACCGGCAGAGTCCAGGGGGAAATTACACATTACGGATGAGCAGGAAAAGTTGAGAATGGCAGAAAATCGGCTTTGTCTTGATTTGGGCATGGACGACTCGGATCGAGCAAGGAGTGAGTTCCCAAGCCCCAATGTCATAAAAACCCATTTAAATTGGCGGAAGCGTCGATAAAAACGGTTCAAATTTATACAGGTCCATCTGAATGGAAAGAGAATAGACGAGAACAAGCTGAGCCACCACGCGAGTCCTTTTGCTAGTCGTGGCCGGCAAATCACGCTTGCTCCGAAGGAGATGGCGCCGTTCCACTCACGACTGTATTATCTAGCAAATGGGAGTTGAAAACTGTATAAAGGAACTTACTTGGTTTCCTAGTTACATTAGCACTTGATTGGGCGGTGTTCGAGACAGGGATACGTCCACCGTGTTCTTTGACAATACCATCTGAAAACAAGTATGTGAATGAGGCAACAGGATAGAGATACAGAAATAGGGGTGCTCCATTGCTTCTCGTGCCGTCAGCCGCTCAGCGTGATCATAACGCAACAGCTTGTCAAGGAAATCCAGAGCTTCAGGACTAACCAGGTGCTGATTCTCTGCGTGAACAAAGCGATCCCATCTTTTTTTCGTATGTCGACCCAGTATTTCATTGAATCTAGAGTCCAGGGTGATTTCGTATTTCATGAGGTATTGAAACAAATCATCTGTGCCGAGGACTTTTGCAATGCGCACCAATTGGTCATAATTATCATGACCATGAAAAAATGGTTCTTTTCGAAAAATCATGCTGGCGAATACGCAACCGAGAGACCACAAATCCAGTGAATAATCGTACATCTTTGGAAGCGGCGCCAATGAAACAAATCAAGGAACGAAAATCCCTACCTGATAATCCACTAGCAGCTCTGGTCCTTTAAAATATCGTGAAGCAACCCGAACGTTATACTCCTGACCGGGATGGTAGAATTCCGCCAAACCCCAATCGATAAGCCGGAGTTGACGCTGTGAATGATTTATCATCACGTTGTGTGGCTTGACGTCACGGTGCATAATGCCCATACTGTGACAAGCATCCAGCGCACGCAGTAATTCGAATATATAAAATCGGATGTCGTAATCAGTCAGTGTATGATACAACTCCTTAAAGTCTTTGTTCTCCACGTGTTCAAATATCAGAGCGGGCGTGCGAGACTGAAATGAGATGGAGCAATGGTCGACGCATTTACCACTGGGTCTTTCACAACTGCTTCAAGAGCTACAATATTGGTAACGCCACGAAGATTCTCCAGTATTTTAATTTCGCGTTTGATTTTTTTCTTCTTTACCGGCTACAAAAGAAAAGTGTGAACAGCACATGAAGCGAAACCCACTTTGAGGACCTTGATAACACATTTCTCGTTTGCGGTGATATTGACCCCTTCAAAAACTTCACTGTATTTTCCTCTTCCAAGTTTGCGCACAATTTGGTAATCATCTTGATCCCTGTTATGGGTAATGTAGGGATTGAGAAAAGGCGCTGCACCAACCCCCACTTCACCTCATAGTTTTCATAATCCCAATATTCACGTGGACGGTTGAGATTTATATCGGCATACACACGAGCCTTACTGGACAAAGGCATCGCTGAGAATAAAACCAAACAAAAATAGAAACAGTTAGATGATGCAGAGGTAGAGGGTAAAATATCGAAGGGAAAGTTGTAGACAACTACAAAAGGAGGTGTGGTAGCCAATGTAGATTTTAGTCAAAAACAAGAAACAATGTTATAACTCATGATTTCTACGAAATTCGGATTGAAAGCCAGCTGTACAAACTTTCAAACCAATCCGAAAGCTGCCGCTGACCTCAACGACACAGTGAACTCACAAACGCAGCTGCTGAGCAGACCTAAATAGACCGGGGACCACGGTTTTGTGAAATAGAAAAACTAGCTAACTAACTGAGCAATTCACAGGTGACGTTCACAAATTCGCTGGAATTAAAGGAAAGTAGTGATCGATGTTTATAGTTTCCAGATTCTGTGATATCAACATAAACACCAAGAGACACACCAGTCATGTTTACCAACATCTAGTTGACTTGTAAATAAAATAATCCTAATAATGAAGAATAATGAGAGGACAGAGGAGGGACCTAGTGTAGAACCTAAGTACCAACAACGTAAGTCTACATATATCTGGGAAACGTGTACGAAGGCAATATGACATCGACGAGATAACGCACTTGCGGCACTCACCGTTCTGCATCAAGGCTACACTACCTTAAGGATAACTCAGCAGTCACACACAACTGAAACAAGAAATTAAGCTAGATAACAACACATCAATGGAGCAAATTGTCTAGCCAATGGGGTTAAGTGAGGGCGCTAGCTAGAGCAACATGAATGGATGGGTTTACGGCATCATAGTTACACGGGGCCACGGACAAATTTCTTTTGGGCGCATAAGTTCGTCGATCGTCTTCGCGTGTGCCGTCCAGACGTCAGGCAGATTGGCTGGAAGTCGTCTCGCAAGTTGATTTGAGTCGGTCACAGCACCGCGTTCGCTATAATCTTTCTCACACCGGTCGTGAACCCCTGTCCAGAATGAGCTTCCCATTTCACATTTCGATGGTGTCGTATTAGCGCCCAGTTTTATCTACCACATAATGACTAGTCCTATTCATTCTAGCGCGTGTGCCTCCATTGTTAGACCAGTAAAGCGAATTCCTCCGCAACCGAGTTACTCTGTTTGTTGTGCTATCTTCGTCCAACATATCAATTCATTGATCTAACATTTCAATGGATTATCATCTTTGTCCAAACAAATTCGACATCGACCTAAATGCATTTGACGATTCTAGGGGATGGATCTATTGGTTTCGAACATGCTAGGTCTGCCTAAAATGGGGTCAGTCAGATGACTCGGACAATCTAGATATGCTTCACAACTTTCCTATTCGGTCCATGGATATGTTTCTAAGCACAAAACCTTTGAGAGTGCTGGTACACTTCTTCAATCCCGGTACGTGCGCCCTAAGAATTTGAATTGTGTACGGCACCTAAGCACGTGCAAGCAAGTGTGAGCACAGCATCCATCAGTTCGTGTAAAACATGAAGTTGTCGACGAAGTATTCTGATTAATGTTCTGTGTAAACGGACGAATATCGTTGTGATGCTAGCGCGACGCTCTTATAACACGACTGCAGTCGAAAAGCGGGTGGACAAGACTCCTGAAACAAATGGTTATGAATTTCGAACTCTTGGAATATGCTGGGTTGTGAATTTACGAACTGCTTGAAATCGCTGAAAAATAATCAAAACTGAGGTTATTCCCTGTTCTTCGGCTAATTCTGGGCCCCTCTCACAACGAACCCATTATCCATCGAATCACTCATCTGAAGCCGAATCCATCTTATCAGTCGTACCTAAAAACGGCCATTTCTGTGCTTATCCAAATACCTTTGTGGAAAGTGCCCAGTAAGAGCAGCGATTTGCAAAGTCTGTGGGAAAAGGGGACATTTCAAACGTATGGGTGGATCGAAGCTTGTTAATACCTCGTCATTTCAGCCCTGTCCTTCAGATCTTCTGTTCTAACGGCCGCTGCTTCAGTTTATGTTGCACAAGAATCATGCTCCTTGTTAACAACATGGATTGATATGCCCTAATAGATACCGAAAATTCTGAGACTTATGTTTCTAAATCTGTTAGCGCTCCCACTATTGGAACGTCCATCATTGTGACTCAAAAATATATATGGTCTACAACTCACTGTCATGTGCAAGTACTGGATATTGTGATGTGCAAATTGCTTCCCAAGACGTTGTTAAGAACGATGTTAGGCTCTGTTATCCGTAACCCATGTTTTGCTTGGCCACGATTTTCCTGGATTGCATAACTAAGTGGAAATATGGTTCGGTGGTAAACGCAATACTCTCTAGTTGTGCACACTCACTGTGGTCAAAACAGAATAATCACTGTTTTCTCATCTTTCATCAGATTGCCGACCGGCTGCTATAAAATCTCGACGAGCACCTTATAAAAACCTAAGTACGACGTCATTCGAACGATAAGATCATTGAACCACCTAGCTCCCCTTGAGAGATGCAAGTAATCGTCACCAAAATGCAGAACGATAAGAAAAGGATGGTAGTCGATTATGGACAAACAGGCAATAGTTTCGCCTTTTTTGATGTCTATCCATTACCTCGAAACGACAAAATGGTGGAGACCACTTCTCGTTAGGCCGCTTATCATCAGATCACTATCGATGGACATGACAAACCCTACATTGGTTTTGACTACTTCGGCTTGGGCAACCGGGTAGTATCACGCCCACTGACGAATCATGGACCACACTGCTTACTACTGCTCCTGCTATGCCTATCTTCCCTGCTAACTCAACTGCTCAACCTCCACTCACAGATCACCTCACATGTCGTCCTTCCCCTATATGTATTCTTATGTCTTCTTCAGTCACCGTCACAAACGACCGGTCTCGCAACTGATGGAAGCAACAGCCAAACTCCCGGTTTTCAATGTCCTGCGATTGCAACCGCCTCTCACTCCACCGAAGCTCCAGCTCTTCTTCGACCTGGTTCTCCATTCATCCTCGCAGCGTTTCATGTTCGAACTTTGATGCAGATCGGACGACAAGCATGTCTGGCCCGTACTCTTGAAACGCTATCGGTAGACATCTGTTGCCTTTCAGAGACCAGATTACAAGACTCTAGCGCCGTCATCAGAATGGCCTCTCCGATAAATCCTGACGCCAAATACCACTTGCGGCTTTCCGGAGACCCAGAAGCTGCCGTCACTGGCCAAGCTGGTGTTGGGGTTGCACTGAGTGCCAGGCTGAATCAGCTCTGCTTGACTGGATCCCAGTCAACAGTCGGCTATGTACTGTTAGACTACGAGGTTCATGCAACGTAAGCAGGCGTTGAGACGTTAAGTGTGCCTTGTTTGTCGTCTCCGCCTACGCCCCTACAGACCGCAGGCCGGATGCAGTAAAAGATAGCTTTTACCAGCAGCTAACTGAACTTCCGCGTTCCTCCAAAAGGACTGATGTAGTCATTCTTGCCGGGGACTTTAACGCACGGGTTGGCCGCCTTCCACCAAGCGAGCACCACCTTGGGGGTAGTTTTGGTCTCGGTGGAAGTCGATCAGACAATGGAGACAGACTGCTTGCTCTTTGCTCTGATCATTGCTTGTATCTACGAGCACTAGTTTTCGGCACTCGAGGAGACACACTGCTGCCTGGCGCCCGCCCTCACAAACGAAAGAGTGCTCCCAGCTTGACCACATAGCAATCAGCTACAGATAGCGCGGAAGCGTAACGAACTGCCGATCGTACTGGTCAACTTATCTAGACTCCGATCACTCATTGGTTCGTGCTAAGATTTGCATGCGTTTCGAAGAATCACCCAACCGCGCTCACTACCGACCGGACGTCGCAAATCTACAAAACCCTGCGATTTTAACCAGGTACCAAGCCTCACTGTCAACCTTGCTTGGCTCAACTATTGACGGTGATCTAGATTTGCAGTGGGCGCAGATCAAAGATGCTTTAGTTTCCGCAAGTATCGACGCTTGTGGAGTTGCCCGTCACGCACCGAGGCATTGGATTTCCGCCGTCTCCTTGTCGCTGATGGACAAACGCCGCTTGATCCCGTCGGGATCCAGACACAGTGAAGAATGCCAATCCCTTGGTCGAGAGTTGCGCAGGAGTTTGCAAATGGACCGCGAAGCTTGGTGGTGTGAACGTGCTAGGGAGATTGAGCTTGCTAGTCTCTCTGGTAATACCAGAAAACTTTTCCGTCTCATTCGAGTCATCGAAGGTGTTCGATCTGGTATAAGTGAAACAATATGCGAAGAGGATGGCACCTTAATCACCAATCTTCAACGACGGTTGGAGCGATGGGCCGAACATTTTGGCTCACAGTTTTGTGGGCCACCAGCTCCATCTGCTACCTCTGGCGCTCGCGCTGAGGTCGAGTGGTCCACTTCCACATATCCTCCCTCTTAGCAGGAAATTGAGCAGGAGTTCCGGCACATGAAGCGTTATAAAGCCCCCGGCACTGATGGTCTTTCTCCGGCTCTAGTTAAAGATTGTGACGCTTCGCTGGTTCGAGAACTCACCGCTTTGTTCTCGAAAATTTGGTCAAACGAAAAAGTTCCGTAATCTTGGGGTGAATCCATAGTCGTTCCCCTCTTCAAAAAGGGCCTGCGCACAATCTGCTCCAACTACAGAGGAGTAAGTTTAGTCCCCGTCGTTTGCAAGCTGCTGGTGTCCATCACACTTCGCAGACTATCCCCAACACGCGAATCGTTGCAACGAGAAGAACAAGCTGGATTTCGTCCTGGTCGCGGCTGCATCGATCAAATCTTCACACTTCGTCAGATCCTCGAGCTCCGCCATGTGTATTAGAGACCAACGATTGCTGTGTTCCTGGATATCCGTGCAGCCTTCGATTCTGTCGATCGTACAGTACTGTGGCACTGCCTACTGAGGAATGGTATACCGGAGAAGTTCGTCTCCATACTGCGCGCATTCTATAGTCTGACCTCGGGCAGGGTTACGGCTTATGGCAAGCTTTCGCCTACCTTTGTGGTCTCCAGTGGAGGTCGAAAAGGATACCCTATCTCTT